ATTTTATTGCATGCTCCTCTGCATGATAAATTTGTAAGTGTTATTTAAAGGACGAATTCACGATGAAAAAACCCATTTCAAATTAACCTAGGGATGGTGAGTGGTACACGAAAGAAGGAAGAACCATGAGAAACGGCCCAGAACCCGAGAAATGGGACCCCTTCCTTGCCCGTTGATTTGAGCATTGATGCGACTCTCATCGCTGTGCCCTCTTCAACACTACGCTCTCTCAGCTATCTAATCACTCGCCACGTATTGAACTACGGCGAGTGATCAGATGATCGGTGGGCGGAGATCGCCGGACCCGCCAGCTTTGAGGCATGATAGGTCGCCGAGGTCAAATTTTTCCATGCGAATTGCGCGTCAGTTCGCACCCTCAGGAGGTCCGTGGGTCCCTCAACTAGGTCAGTTTCCCTTTCTTCGACCTTCATTCTAATCGTGAATTCCTCCTTTAAGGAAAAAGCACGATTTAAAAGCGCGTGAACGGTGCGCTTACGAGGCAGGGCGGGAAGAAGTTGGTGCAGTGACAAGTGGCGCGCTCACCACGCGAGCGGTCCGGGATCAAATCCTGGGTCGTGAGTCGCCCGGGCCAACCAAGCCTTCCATCCCTCCGGGGTCGGTTAATTGGTACCAGACTTGTCTGGGAGGATAAAAACACTGACTTGAACATCGGCTGGCCCCCGCAAGTCATTGTATAGGCCACATCGCATTCAAACGCCACTACGAATGTACAAATGGAAGTAGAATGCGTGCCGCATCCCAAAAGGGATTGATCAACGGCAAATGCTTTATCCTTTATCCTTTATCTTCGTTACATTTCGTATACGAAGGTTAATGCCAGGTTTACTTTTGAGCGGCAGGCATATTCTTGGGATTAATGCCTCGTTTCTATTGCCACCTCGAATCATTTCGAAACTCTATATAGATTCCGCAATGATTTAGTAAGCTGACTATGGGTCGAGTCGGAAGTCAACAATCAGCTTGCTTTCTTATATACACTACATACATTTGATCACGGCAAACGACCCTATCCAAATACTGAATTCACTACCAGCATCGTTTTTCTCACCTGTTCATAACTAATCCACAGACGTCTTCCAGCTGAGCGAACTGCTTTGCTGATGGCGTTGTCCATCCTCCGAACGAAAGGAAGTCGCTGTAGTTGGCCGGAGTCTCATTCGACGAGCCAATGCAGTTGTGTTCGTACCGTACATACAACAGTAAAGATGGGTATTACAAGTACCACTATACTTGGCAGAGCTTTGAAATTAGAAATAAGACTGCCATTTTGTGGCTGGAGGTCATCAACGGACTTCACTGTCATGGAGGTTTCTTGGCATTGGCGACAAAAAGTGATCCCTCGATCTGAGTAACTGCGCCTTTGATAAATGATTGAGTTTGGAGGGATTTGGAAAACTAGCCCGTTAACTACAGTTCGCCTTTCCTCTACCTGAACTGGCCATCCGAGGTGCCCCCCCCCCTGCTTCCCAGGATCACTTGTGCCAGACGAGTTTGAAAAAAGGTGACATTTACAGCTATTAGGAAGCTTGGGCCTAGTAGATTTCGAAACCTCAGCTCCTGCAAATATCGTACTTTATGTGGAAGGAAGTAATGCTCGCTTCAAATGCAGCATTTCCATGTCGTTCTCTTCTTGGGGCGTGTTCGAGCAGCGAAATGCTTCAATGATATCGCGCAACGCATACGCAAACATTAGGCTGGTGTCAGAGTCCGCGATCCGTCGCGCGATTCGCGCGAATCGCAAAAATTGCAAGTGCCCCATTTGAACATTTGAAACACTGAATATGAAACAAGTAGAATCATGAACAGTCGTCATTCAACCATCACTATCAAGCAGAAATGGCGGCGGGATTGGAGAGCATCCTCGCAGTATTGATCGAGGTATTCACGATTTCATCGATCCGTCGCGCGATTCGGATGGATCGCGCGATAAATTGCGAAGTCGAACCAGCCTACAGCGTTGCGCGGGCTCAACTGCCATTTAGAACCTCGATCAATATTACCGGAAAGCACTGTTGTGACATTCAGCTAGTTCATTTTTGTTCATTTCGTGAACTTTCTTTCAATTTCTTTCTCATATAGTGGTTTTCTTTGGTATATGTACTGTACTTTTGGAACCCGTATCGGGACATTCCTCCCCAAAGAGGAGGGGGAGCATTGTGAAAATTTTTCAGATTTTTTTCTGCATCGTCACGGTTAACCCTGCTCTTAGGATGCCTACCAGAGCATGGCGTTGTTGATTTTGGCCGAGCCTGTGATTTCGCTCCATTCATCGATGTTTGTGTAGATACCAACAGATAGGCCATAGTGCTGAAATAAAGCCCTATTATAGAGAAACTGCACAAAGGGCGAAAGGCACTTACATTGGCTCGTTGTGGATGGTGTTGAGGAGTTGACGTTCGATGATGTTGTACAGCATACCAGAAATCTGATGACGTACCTTGGACACTTCCTTTTGTAGGGTACGCTCTTTTTCGCGAAAAGGAACCAAGTTTTTTATCGGAAATTTATGCGTTGCTTGATATGTTGGTGGTCTCCTTTAGACCTGCTTCCTCAAGAGAGTTGGTTATATAAAGTCATTGGCTAACAGTGGTGGAATGGGGCTGTGGGAGTGATCGAGACCACCTCCCAACACCCTTCTGCCAATGATGACCAGTGACGTCATCGCAACCGCTCCGCCTCCACCCTGCTGCTTTTTATTTAACTTGCTTGTGAGTTTCCCTTACTTCTACTGCATGAATGCCATTTTCTACTTTCCAACTGAGCGTTTTGACGTAGGTCCACTTTTCAGCTTTGACCAATGGCATTCTCCAGAACATACGAGCGCTATTGCTCCCATCACATTTGGCGAGCTGCTTCGCTTTTCTGGTTTTTTCTACCACCGAGCTTTTTTCTCCTCTTTGCTCTCCTTTCGAGCAGACTAACGAGAACTCGAATTTTCTGCGTTCTCACTCTCCTCACTGAATCACACGGATTGAAGTCCAACTGTTTTGGGAGTTTTCAGTGACGGTATTCATGTCGAATTGCTGAAGCGCAGGTTTTTGGATTGCACTGAGGCGTGAGGGGACATGTAGGCTTCAGCGCCAAGTCCAGCTGAAAAATAAGAATGACTGGAGTTAGGCTGAGAGAAGTGAATTATCACAACTGAGAGAGTCTGCTGCCTCTTTGATGGAAGGCAACGTCAACCCTACCAACCTACCAGAAATTTAATGCTTACCAGCAATAGCCAACTGAATGTTGCTTACGGCGTACTCATCGATTTGTCCTTGACCAACATGAGTGTAAGCCCTGCAAGACGTGGATTCACGTAAAAGACGGGAAAGAAGATGAAGACAGCATTCGGGGGGGTGGGGGTCGGGGAGGGAGGGGAGGGAGTGTCGAAACGGTTGCTTGTTACCGGAGGTCTCAATCGCGTACAGCTCCCAACCTTTGTTAGTGTTTTTGTGTACGCCTTTACCTAGCGCCCTTGTGTGGCTCTTGCAAACGCCCAAATAACGCACCAGACCATCCATCCAGAGCTTGCTCATTAGTTCGCAATAGACCCATCATCAAACCTAAGGGCGTCCAAGGTCAGGGATCGAGCTAACCGTCTAAATGATGTACCTGATGAAAGCAGTACTGTACTGATTGCTACGAATGCACTGGAATCCCGCCAGTGAGATCGGAATTAACAAGTCGACGGCGTAAGCGGTGGAGGCCTGCAAAAAGTTTGAATGAATGAACAACTGAAGCAATGGATCACAGAAGGTGATTTGTAAGGCAGTCGTGAATAGCGAGGGAGGAATTCTTACCAGATCGGAGGTTATTTCTTGTTCCGTTAAGACCTTCTGAAGAACTGGACTCGCGAAGGTGCTCAGAAACAAACACACCAACAGCACAACAAGTCTTCGCATTGCTGAAAAACAACGTTTAAGGACTGGCTAGTGCAAAATGTTACCAGGCGCTGAGAATGTCTCGAGTAAGTGACGAGGTTTGAGCGTGCGATTAGAAAATCACTTATCACCACTCAATGATGACAGAATGACGATAAGCCAGGAAGACGGAAATGAAGTGATGCAGAGCGCCATAAAACATCGTGAGTTACCAGTTACCAGAAATGGTTCTTACGTTAGATTTGATAGGCCTCCGCAAGTGCAAGGAAAGCCAGAGATGTTGGTCCGATGGTTCTTGACCGGGGTCAGGTGTGTTTTACTCATAAGCCAGCATTCTTGCGATAACCGAAATTCATGATTTTGAAATCTTGATTAGAAACTAAAGAATCTCTCAGATCGCAGTCAATAAATACGTTTCTGAGAAACTAAGAGAATAGTCCAGTTGAAACTTTTTAGACCTGCTTTAATATATTCCGTTTAATGGTTTGCTTGTTTTTAATTATAATAAATTGCGGTTAATGTTTTTATATTATACCAGTTGGCGCCGCACGCGTTGCGCGCACAGCACAGTTCTGCGGCGATATGCGGTGATGGTGCGGCGTGAATTTTCGAATTTGGCCCTTCGAATATTTGACTTTCAAGCTGAATTCTATCCGATTGCCCCATGCTTCATCCACCGATGGCTTTTGACCTTCCCTCCTTCCTCCACCAATTGTCCGTTTTTCCCAGCCTCGGACTGCCTCCGGACCGATTTATGAACCTCGTGGTAAACTCCGCCTATTTCTTTGCATGTCCCACCTATCTTTTTCTTCCTCGCCAACCTCTTCCCACTTTTTACCCGATCTCTGAACTATCTCTGAGCCGATTTATAATTTTGGCGGCGAATCCTGCTTTTTTGGTGTATCCTCCGCACACCATTAGAAATTCACTTCCTTTCCTTCGCTCACTTCTCTCCCGGTCTCCAGCACTTCTTGCAGCCGAGTCACAAAGTTTTGTGGAGAACTCCGCCCACCTTGGAAATGCTCCGCCCACCAACAGCAGTTGGGCTCCACTCCTTCACCCACCTCTATCCACCTTTTTCCCGTCTCCGGGACTTGTTGGAACCGAGTTATGAATTTCCGTTGCAAACTCCGCCCCCTGATCATTTCCCCGCCCATGTGACAGTTGGACCTCCTACTCCTCATCCACCTCTAGACCTTTTTTCTCGCAGTCTCCTGGACTCTCGGAACCGAGTTATGAAATTTCCTAGGTCGCAAACTCGACACTTTGGTGTATGCCCGCCCATAGCAGTCGGGCTCCACCCCTCACCCTCTATCACCTTTTTCCGGCTCACTAAGACTTCTCCGGCCCGAATTATGAGGACTTGTAGAAAACGCTGTACACTTCAGAGCGCGCTCCGCCCATTGTGGGCGGGCCTCCGCTCCACATCATGTATGCTGGAAACACCTTAGACATTGCTCCTCTACACCAATTTGTTTTCTGCTCTGTAGGCTTTACTCCGCACCGAGTTAATGAAAATTGTCATAAAGAACTTGCTTTTTTCGGAGAACACCCGCCACAGGAGAGTGGTCTCCTAATCGTGTGGGGAACAATCCGCACATCTTTGCCCACGTTCGAGGGTGTTTTGGTATGTATCTGAAAATCTCGGTCGTCAGTACCACTCATTTCGATGCACGCCACGCCCACTGTGGGCGTGGAGCTCCGCTCTTAGCTGATGTGTGTTTTTGTACTTCACGAAGACCTGGGCCACCTATCCCACACTTGACCCGGGGATCTGCAGAGTTGTTGTTGCTGTATGTTTACCAAATTTTGTTGACGGACGGACGACAGACGCGGACTGTACGGACAGACAGGACAGACTTGCGGTAAATATAGTAGGGATTATTACTTATTCTATTACTTGCATTCCGGCTATAGTTTATTGTTTCAAGTTGAGTTAGGGATCGAACTACGAAGTTATTTGTTATGCGATATGTGGCCTACAAATGACTTGCGGGGGCCAGCCGATGTACAAGTCAGTGTTTTTATCCTCCCAGACAAGTCTGGTACCAATTAACCGACCCCGGAGGGATGGAAGGCTTGGTTGGCCCGGGCGACTCACGACCCAGGATTTGATCCCGGACCGCTCGCGTGGTAAGCGCGCCACTTGTCCACTACACCACTTCCGCCCTTTTTTACTGGTTGTTTGTTTAAAAATGTTATTACCCATGGCATAACTTATACAGGCTGTATCAAGTAAGGCTTACGGGGAAATCACCCTCCTTATCAGTAGCTTTACATGAACATATACAAAACTCTAGTCTACTGTACGGATTTTCTCATGGCGATGGAAATGTTTTTGTGCAACAAGAATGTGACCTGTCCCATTTATGCACCCATAGAGGAATGTCTCATTCTATCGTTTGAAGTTTATGCTACGACACCTGAGCGCAATTCTTCGGGCGCCCCTTTCCTACGGTTAGCTTCCTATGGCAAGAACTTTCCGTGGCATCAAGTTCCCATGGGGGAGATGAAGGGCTTCGAGAAGTATGTATTTAAAGAACTTAATTTTTGTTAGCTCATGTCTTGAGTACAGTGACTCTTTTCGCACTTTGTCCTTCCGTTTTCCCTGCGAGGCGATCAGCCTAACTGTGATAGGGTGAACTCATGAATGGTATCATGATTACATAGTAGACCTTTAAAGTTTTCTCGTGCTGAAGTTCGAGCTGAAGTTTCCGCACTTTTTTGGCACAACTCAAACTAACAAATAAAGCAGCTGTTTCAGGCTGATTCAAATAACGGTGGGTCAGATCTCAATGACACCAAAGCCACAGTGAAAAACTTGGGAACGTAGAGAATGGCGAGGGCTTTTTCATTTCCTCCTGTTCAAAGGATACGGTGGCGTTTTGTTTGGTAAGTTGCCATCTGTTTTTTTTGACCATATCAGGCTTGGGCAAAGGCGTAGAGGGCACGGCTGACAATCTGGTAATTTTGAAAAGCTTGACGAGTAATCCGACTTCATTGTGTCATTAAATTCAAGGTCCAGCATGACTAACGTTACACGAGTTTCTGGCCATGAATATTCTGAAATAGTAACTATATGGGAGACATGTGGTCTGTTTATCGTAGCTTTCAAATGAGTATACTTAGCGGATATTTATTGCAAAATTCGATTATTGTTTAATCTCAGCTTTTCCGGTGAAAGCTCCGGCTCCTAGTCCGAGACCACCAACGATGATTTGTTGTTCTCCTTTTTCACGCCTAGCCATTCCTGCGACGGCGGCCGACGATGTGCTGTAGATGTCTCTGAAATCCATCACAGTGTATTTGATTTGACGCATTTCATCAACAAGCAAAACACAGGCACATAAAACCACCACCAAACGCCACTGGGTTAAAGGCAGTGAACACGATAGCTGGAGGGTGGCGGTTGCGATGACGTCATTGGACATCACTAGTGGACCAGGCCTCTCAGCGCGCCGGGGGCGTAGTTGGGAGAGTCCCCACGCTAATCATGCTCAATGACGTCACCAAATAGCTCCGCCCTCCATCCATCGTGTCCACTGCCTTTAGGCTTGAAAACCTTCAAGTTGGTCAATTCGTATGCGATTTGGTAGTAGGCGTCGGAACGTTGGAGTGCTCCTCAAAAACTCGTTGCGTTTCCCCTACCTATTCACAGTTATTCCGCAGACGCTTTCGACCTGAGCGAATTGTTTCACTGAGGGAGAAGTCCATCCTGCAAATGAGAGGAAGTCACTGAAGTTGGCAGGAGTCTCGTTTGATACTCCACTGCCGTATGTGCTCCAATACCTGAAAGAAAGAACAGTTACCCGAGCGGACTTGACTTGTTAATGAGGGTACTGTGCACCACTTTTGATGGGTGAGAACACCGGGACACCTACCAGAGCATGGCGTTGTTGATGGTTGCCGAGCCGGTGATTTGATTCCATTCATTAATATTTGTGTAGATTCCAATGGACAGACCATATTGCTGAAATAGCGCCCTCTCAGGGTTGCAGTGCTAAAGGGTAGAAACGCACTTACATTTGCTCGGGTGAGAATGCTGTTGATGAAGTTGATGTTGAGTGTGCTGGTCACGTACCAGTTGAACGGGGGACGTTACCTGAACCATTTGCTTTCAATCTGTACTTCTTTTCACGAAATTTATCGTAGAATTTTGTTGACAAATATCCCAGTCCTATTTTTAACACTCCTTATTTGACCCCGCTCATCAGCGACTTGAAGATCGTCTGATCGCGACGGTGGCTGGAGGGTGGTTTGATGGTTCTGATGACGTTATTGACCATCATTTGTGGTCTTAGGGGCAGAATTTACGATGAAAAGTTAGCTCACTGGAAATAATGGTAGTTTAGACACGCTTGTGGCTTCTGTCGCAGCCCCGGGGAGTTTACGAAAAACACTCCGATTTGAAATATATAGGGGAGCGAATTCCTTCGTGCCCTCGTTGATTTTGCGCATTTAAGAGAGCGATTAAATCCACCGTCCCTTGTGCCCCTTCTTCGGACCCATACGCCTTCTCTGATTAGCTCTTATCTTACGTACAGAGCCGCTTGGGATCGTCCTCCGACTCCTTACTGTCCCCGCCGTCGGTAAGCGTACCGCCCCCCCCCCTTCCGCCAAGCCGCCGCCAAAAGTGAGCCATGGTAGACCGCCGAGGCAGTCCGCTGCAGTTACGCGGTGCGTCAGCACCCCCCAGGAGGTCCGCCATGTCTTCGCTCCAACTAATTGCGGCACACATAATTGCCGTTCTCTCTTGAGCTGTCGTTTCATTCGTGCGCTTATTCTCCTTTAATGTCTTACCGTCGCTTCGTCCGTGTGCGATGGGCGACCCCCAACAGCCCACTAGCCTTCGAGTAACGTGTCAATGGTGTTAACGAGCCCAACGCGCCTCGGCCATTGTGATCCACCGCATGGTCAGGACGTCGTGCTCCCCCGTGTTTTACTATCTCAAGTGTCTCATAAGTGGCATTTCAAGTTTAGTTTACCGAGCTCCGTTTACTATAGGCCGCTTCGATCATGCCCTGTTCCGGTGACTACTCATCGACAGATATCGCCTTCCAATTAAATCTTATGGTTGTCACTTGGGCGTTGCGGTTTTCTTGCTCTCGCACTTTTATCAATTCTGAGGGTCCTGTTCTCGTGCAGTGGTACTGCAAGTGGCCTAACAGTGCTCGCCTCTGAGTTTTCTAAATAATTCAGGTTTCCTTACCCTGGATCCGATATAGATGGAATTACATGGTTCCGAGTTTCTTAGATTGCTGTACATTTCATCTAATTTCTGACACACCGTTCTTAGGCGGATCTTGGTTGAGAGGTCATGTAGGATCTTCAGTCCGATCCCACTGAAGAATGTCTACCTATACGCGAGAGAGACTCAAAGGCTACCAACGAACAACTGAGATAAACGGCCTTATGGCGCGTCCTCGTAACATGGTTGGATATCCCTCCCGACTTTAGTACCATTTGGAATCTGGTCGCTTACCAGCAACAAGCGTTCTGGATGTTGGCACATGCGTAGGTGTCGATTTGTCCTTGGCCAACTGGAGTATAGGCTCTGTAAGACAAAATAAATACTAGTAGCAACTACGAGCACGCTCAGATAACGATTACAACTTGTGCATTTGGTATATGGAGCATACATAGATATCGACAAAGCGACATAACCCTAGAAAGGGATGGAGAATATGTGAAAGAGGGGGGGGAGTAGGATAGTTCACTGTCAGTGACGCTTCAGAAGCGGACAAGTTTCTCGAAATTTCCTTAGTGGACGAGTTTTGCGGGGCTTCTTGGTTTTGGAACCATGCATTTGTCAGTGTCATCATATACGAAAAGAATGGTGTTTTTCACATTGTTTTATCGGACTATGTTGCCAGTTTGGTGGCTTGCAAGGTGGTATATCTGGACCCTATTTCTTTAATGTGAGGGGGTTTTGAGCAAAAAGGCTGCTCAGATCTACTTCTGTGGAAGCTTCGTTTGGCGCTACTCGGCATGAAAATTTGATCGACTTTGCATATCTCTATCAGACAACAGCGGTTTTGCAGGATCATACCCGCGCCACTAGCGCCGTGGCACGCCCACCCTTTCGCCGTCTGATTCTAGCCATTTGACAGTGAGAGGTCGTTAGCGTTCGGAGTTAGAGTGCAGCACCAACGAGACTTGGATCAATGGGCAAAGAAGGTAACCATTCGTCGGGTTCTTGACGACTTCTCGTGCTTTTTTCTTCATCCCTGCACCATGGGTCACCTCTACCTTTATTTCTAACAGCCTGTCTTTCTACTGTGAGTCCGCCTCCAACTGATTTAGAAAGAGATGCAGCTGATAGATCGATGTTCTTTAGGTTCGAGAGACTACTTGATTGTGAGCACATCAAGGGTTGCTTGAAGTCACTGTGGCACTTTCTAACTCTCACAACTCATTTGACCCTTCCAGAATATTCCGGTAACTATTATCATTTCTCGCAAGCTGCGCTTTCTTTATCTAGGCGTCGTGCGATTATCGCAGAAAAGGCTCCTGGTCGTAAACGAGCGTTTCATGAATCTTGCATTGGCCTATGAAAACCAAAGATCGTCTCCAGAAAGGGAGGTTTCGAAATAATTCTTTGAAGTGTTTACCTGATGAAAGCAACGTTGTAGTAGTTGTTGCGTATGCATTGGAATCCTGACAGCGAAACCGGCGCGGACAAATCGAGGGCGTAGGCGGTGGTGGCCTGCAAAATATTTAAGTAAATCCACTGCAGCATGTGGATGTTCCCAAGGGGCCACTATTTGAGCAATAATAAGTAATTCTTACCAACTCGGAGGCCGCCTTTTCGTTTACGGCCTTGACCAGCTGGGCAACTGGGCTCGCGAAGCAGTTCAGAAACAAGCACGCCGACAGTATGATAAGTCCTCTCATTTCTGAAAACAACCCTCGATGAAAAATGCTTTTTACCTGAAAAGGCGACCAAACGCTATGAGAAAAAAAAATCATGAAGGCGCTATGGTTCGAGCGTGCGATTAGAACTGCGTTATCAGGCAACGGTATGTGCCGAGAAGAAAGAAACGATTCTGCAGAGCGCAGTGACGCACTATGAACCATTATTGAAATATTATTGAGTGTATGTAATCAATATCGGTTTGGTCTTATAAACATTCGAAATGGCTCTTTCGGTTGTTTGGTTAGAAGATTGGGCGGGGATTTGGTAGGCCCTTGAATCAACACTTCTCGGTAAAAGTCTCCAAGTCTCCAGTATGTCAGATAGTTCATTCCCAACGACTCGAATGTTGTTGGCGAAATGAATATCGAATGATCTCACTGGAAACCCTCGGAGTTGTAGAGGGATTTGTAGCATGTGCATAACCAAACCCTCGGTTATTCTCAATTTTTTTTTATCTTCATTTTTATTTAAAGTCCTAATCATTCTTTATATTACACTGGCGAGAACATGTCTTGGTCTGATCTGTTGTTATTTTCCCTCGTTTAAAAAGACAGCTAAAAATTTTCTATTTTAATCAAGAAATGAATTTACTAATGATCAAAAGGAATCCCCGACTGGGACTGTGGAAGATGGATGGTTCAAACGAAAGAGATTGATTAAACGCTGGAACTTTCTGTCATTCCTCGGCAGCGCTCGAGCTGGCTTTATACCGATCCGAAATCGGAGGTAGATAATTGTACTCTTCCGTTCTTACGATCGTGAGCAAGCTATCGGCATGGCATGCACTCTGCACATCAGCATTCGTTCTGGAAGCAGTTCTGAACTCTTCAGTCCTTCTTCCTGTGCGAATTTATTTCCTGAACATCCAATCAGCCTTAGTACCAGGAGCCATTTTAAGGGGTCTGCACGTGAAATAAATGATGCCGCCATAGTAGTGGTTAGCCTCGACAAGAGGCCTGAGAGCTGATGAACAGAATCTTTGGGGAGAACGAAAATTCCTCACAGACGCTGAAGTCTTCCTTCCCCTGGCTTAGTCCCGTTTCTAACAGAAAAACAATCGTTTGGCGGCGTTTCAAGGTGCTTGTCGTCCCAGTGTCTGCTATCCTCCGATCACGCCTTATTTTGTGAGCCGACTTTCCTTCAGAAGTTGTATTATGTAATTAAAGGAGGATTGCACGGAAAGAACGAAGGTCGAAGAAGGGAGAAATCGCCTAGTGGGGAGAGCGGTGAATCTCTTGAGGGTGCGGACAGACACGCAATCGGCATCGAAAGATTTGACCTCTGAGATCTAGCATGGCTCAAAGTTGGCGAGTTCGGCGATCTCCGCCCACCGATCGTCTGATCACTCGCCGTAGTACAATAGGTGGCGAGTGATTAGATAGCTGAGAGAGCGTAGGGTTGAAGAGGGCAAAGCGATGAGAGTCCCATCAATGCTCAAATCAACGGACAAGGAAGGGGTCCCATTTCTCCGGTTCTGGGCCGTTTTTCGTGGTTTCGCTTTCTTTCTGGTACTACTCACCATCTCTACCTCAATTTGGAATGGGTTGCTTTTCCATCGTAAATTCGTCCTTTAAAGAGAACTGGCGACAATAATATCATAGTGTGGAGAAACGTTCAGTGATGAAACTAGAGGTGGGAGGTGATCTGGAAAAGACAAGGTAAGCAAACGAAACCACCGATTACGCCCAGCACAGATGCCTCCCCGTTTCAGAACGATTCACCTTTGGATAGTAGAAAGGGGAGCGAGTTTCGCAAAGCTTTTAACTTCAGCCGCCATTCCAATGACATTGGTTGCATGGACCGCTGCCCAAATTGCGCCCCGCGCTTAGAGGACGACATCCACATCATGAGGGCAACAATCGAATTAGGAAGAATTCACCTGGTTATAGACCCGCGAGCTCATGAAGTGCGAGCGGAAGTACCGTTTGCTACTAGAGATTACCTCTATTATTTAAAGGAGGAATTCACGATTAGAATGAAGGTCGAAGAAAGGGAAACTGACCTAGTTGAGGGACCCACGGACCTCCTGAGGGTGCGAACTGACGCGCAATTCGCATGGAAAAATTTGACCTCGGCGACCTATCATGCCTCAAAGCTGGCGGGTCCGGCGATCCCGCCCACCGATCATCTGATCACTCGCCGTAGTTCAATACGTGGCGAGTGATTAGATAGCTGAGAGAGCGTAGTGTTGAAGAGGGCACAGCGATGAGAGTCGCATCAATGCTCGAATCAACGGGCAAGGAAGGGGTCCCATTCTCGGGTTCTGGGCCGTTTCTCATGGTTTTTCCTTCTTTCGTGTACCACTCACCATCGCTAAGGTTAATTTGAAATGGGTTGCCTTTCCAGCGTGAATTCGTCCTTTGAGCAGCCGCCACATGCATCTACAGCGAGAGGGCTGGCCAGAGTCAACCCTGCGTTGCGCAGTTCTCAACGGCCACGTTGCGCAGTTTCGCCCGATTAGACACGTTCTCTCGCGCGAACATTCACACTCGCATGCTCGAGCCGTCTGCGTCTCCGCCCATACAGCGTGCGTTGAGGATCTCTCAACGTGCCGTTGCGAACTGCGCAACGCAGGGTTGACTCTGCCTGGGCCGTGGAAAGTAGTAACTGAGTTGCGTATTGGACGAGCTTCTAGCACCCTTGTCGCGCATTTTCAAGCTGCAGAAGGGGCGCGACATTAACGCTTTTCCTCCTGTCGACCGCCCCCCCCCCCACGGATGGCGCACCTAATCCCGGAGCGTGCCTTTAAAATGTTCTGGTGTTACGGTCAAGATGAGTATGCCCACCTTTTTCACATGTTTGATCCGTTGCCAAAGTACCCCGTCGCCTATGTTTTGAGAGGTCATTGACGAGAAAAGTTATAGTATGTATGTATGTATGTATGTATTTCATACAAAAATCTGATAAAAATTCGAAGTGGGCGGAGTTTGTGCTATAGTGGGCGGGGCAGGGGTATGTATGTATGTATATGCATGTATGTATATATGTATATTGTACATATATCAACTCTTGTGAGATCATGTGGCGGTGCCTGCGCTGCTCGTGGTGGGCATAAAAGTTAGTAGATTCGGGAGAGTGGAATTGCTGACATTAATTGCCATATGTTCTACTCCATTGTTATGCATTCAATCAATTCAGAAATTTCGAAGAAAAAACAATTAGAAATTAGTCGATACTGCTTTCACTTTCGTACGCCACAGCCGCAGTCGGTTTTTATGAAAATCTGCCAAAGTACCATATGTTCAACTAGGGTAACTGGGCGCTATCGCCAACATGTATACGGCGAACCCTCTAGGAATAAGCCTAAGAGAGAGAGCAGAACTCAGGAATAATAAACAAAGTATCACGCACCTAAAGTCTCCTCTTTGTCGCCTAGGCCTTAGCCGCCTTACAAGCAAAATAACATGTTTACGCGATTTCAGATTGCATCCACCATATTCCCGTATCTCGCGAATAGCTCGCTAACAATCTTTCTCCTTTCCTGTTTGACACCTTGAATCGCATCGATCATGACCTGCCTGCCACATTATAACGAAGAGAACCTGTTCAGCGCACATTCTAGATGCATTGCCATTCCATTCTTAGTAAAACGGGATGGCATCAAAAGAATTCCCATCAAAATCGTATTCTATCCAACCCTTTATTTACTGCTTTAGGCCTATCGTTCACCAACAAACAAAACAAAAATGCAGTGTTTCCGTAAAAAAAATTCGAAAACCGAAGGGCTGCTAGGGCCAGAGTACCGCACCTCGTACAAATGCTGGTCACGGAACGGGCTTCCCCTCAACGAGCTCATTCGCCGCGTCAAGAAGACACAGATGCGGCAATGGACGAGTCCCAGCGCGTGCTGTGCGATATGAGACGTAGTATGGTACACTCTATTTAACCTGACGCCTAACCGCCACAGTATGCGCTGCGACTCGTCCTTTTCCGCGTCTGCGTCTTTTTCCTTCGCCGCGCGACTGGGCCTCTTGGGACCACCCTGCGGGAACGTTCCCGATCGGTTCACGGAGTGCCGTCCTGGACTCTGGCCTTTTACTTATTGCATTAACATCTCACCCTGACTGCCATCCTACTCTATTTATCGATTTACGATTTGTCTCTACTCGCATAAATACACAGTTTGACCCGATTCTTTCAATGGTCGCCTGATAGGTGGCCGCCCCGCGGACTTCTTTCCATGCACTGCCTGCGCCGCGCCGAATTACCTTGGATTGTCCATGGTGTGTTTTTTGAAGGTTTGTTTCTCTTCAAATTGGTCTTTGTGCGTGAAACTTTGTATGTTGTCTCTTGCTTAATCATGACTGACATACGCGTGTTGGGAAAGAATGAAAGGTTTTTCGGGGAAGAATTCCTTCACTCTTCATTAGCTCCGGGCTCCCTTCTTCCCTTCCATATAATATTGACCGCACACGCATTCTACCAGCGCAGATTCTAATTCGCTGAAGCGTACGTTATCTACTCAAACTTGCTCGAAGAAAAATGAGTTGGTCAGTTCTTACAAAACCAATCTGTCGCTCAACGTTGAATTGTTTACTGACTCATACAATGTTCGATCCAATCTTATTCTCCCCTTATGAATTGCTTGTTCAGCACTGAGATATTTTCCTTCTTCGCCGTGCTGGTACTTTACCATTTCTCTTATTCAACTGCCTCTCAAGTCGATGGAGGAGGCAGATCTTAACATCATATAAGCTCTGCCTCTTTCCTTTGTTATGGTGCGGCTGAGGTTGTTGGCTGTGTGTGCGCCACGCTGTTTCTGATCATATGACCCAACATTAAGACTTAGCTATAATACATTTGTTTTTCGCAGCTGGTTTTGGAGTGCGTCTTTCTCGTGCTTGTCGTCTTATCACCTCATCTTTTTCCCCGTCACCCGGTATCATGTTAAAACCAAGCCTCTCATTGCCCTAGACGCGCCGTACATTGAATTCGTAAATTCGATAGCCCTAATCGGCGTGACCTCCACTAAATATGTTCCCGCTCCATCCGCGTGAATATTCAAAACACAGTCTGTTCATTGCTGTAGCCAACACACCTATGAATTGTGGACGCATACTTGTGGTGTCAGGTTAAATAGGGAGATCATATGCCCGATCCAATTGATTAAGCGCACAAGCCGCATTCAACCATGCCCACTCACCGGACAAACTCTTCATCACTCAATACTGTTACACTTCAGTAATGATCTATCTGGTGGTCTCAAAAAATCTGGGCTGTTAAGTTTATAAATCTAAACAAGCAGCGATAGCTTCGCTGGCGGATGCCAGGGCAAATAGGACGCAAGGTAGAATGTTGCGCGGACCGAGTTGTCCCGCCACAGAGGATGTGGTAATTACGACCCGTCGCTCCAATGCCTAATGGGATCGTACCATATGACGCACACCCGTTAAGTAGAGTGTACCATACTACGTCTCATATCGCACAGCACGCGCTGCGACTCGTCCTTTGCCGCATCTGCGTCTCTTCCTTCGCCGCGCGATGGGCCTCTTGGGGGACACCCTATGTTGTAGGATCGCGTAGTGCACTGTGAAACGCTGAAATCGCCGCAGAGCGATGTCTTTGCTAACATCAGTAGGCTGTGACGACCTAGTATAATCCAGAAAGTTGAAAAAGCATTCGGTATTGAAACAATGCCCCATTACTAATTACGCAAGGAACCTTTGCACATCAACAACGAGAAGAAAAGTCAAACTCTCCGGTAACGGTTAATTGGATGTGAAAGGAGTGACCCTGCTTCACTGAAGCCTATCTGTGACGAGCCTATCTAAGCAGTGCTGCCAAAACTCCCTAACTAACAAAACAAAACAACAACCTAACAAAACTTTGGTTCATTGACCGGCGGCTTTTCGTTTTGGCAGTAGCATCACTGATTTAGTGCTTACAGCTTCAGAGAAGATGATGTTCCGTGTCTGCTTCATTTCATTCCTGTTCGTGCAGACAGCTTATCTGCCGGGAGCTCTCAGTTTCATGGCGAGTGAACTCCCAGCTTCTGATCAAGATGCCAATGTCAGACCGGTGTTTAGCGAAGAGTGGGAAGGCTTTGAGGCGGTTCCGTATGAAAAGGAAAACCTTTACAAAGTAAGTACATGAAATATGCTATAAAATACCAAACCTCCAGTGATTCTTTTTCCAATCGCAAGAAGGAGTGGCTTGAATACTGCGGATAAAGTCCTTGAAGCAGAACCGTCCGGGATGCTGGGCCGCGTCCTTGCGGAACGCTGGTTCTGTAGAAGGCTGTAACAATGGTCCAGTGTCCACTTTCTCCCTAAGCAATTCACTGTGGATGTCGTGCCTAAGTTTTGTGCAAAAAGTTCATTTTGAAGGAAGTTATAACAGTTCGAAGCCAAAAAACCAGCGCTCTGCCAAAAATCGGTCCGCGATTTCCCAAAACGGTCCAACGGGGCGATTTTTTGACTCCATCAATTTTGAAAGAGTTCAAGTATTCGTTAGAAAGCTCTAACCTTCTAGTTTATCCCAGGGGGACAAGAATTGCAAAAGGTTCAATCTGAAGAAAGTTATAGTCATTGAAAGCCAAAAAACCTGGTTCTGAAAAAAAACGGTCCAACGGGGCGATTTTTTGAAGAAAAGAGACTTTGCAAAAGTTTGAGTACTTTTTAGAAAGAAACAATCTGGGTTTCAAAATTTTCTTACCACTTCTCACATTTCCTTATTTGAAGAAAATTACAACCTTTCAAAGGAAGAAGTGCGCATTTCTGTGAATTCCGGTTTCTCTACCCCATAACTAACACAGTTTTGAAGAAACTGCAAAAAAGTGGTGTTTTCGGAAACTAGGGGTCTCGTAGATTACAAATCCACTTTGCAAAAATATTGACGCTGAACAGAATTACACTCTTTTGAAAATTAGTAGTCCGCCTCGGTCTATCCGCGCTGGGTCGAGGGGAAGATTGTGCGCCAATGCGAACGCAACGCTCCCGTGCTCAATTCGGTTCCCCGGCGGGAAAGTTCTACTTATATCCAAGTTCTGTTTTATGGTGTTTTGTATTTAATCCTTATATCGCTATTCTCGAGTAGGATACACGTTATATATATCCGTATACACACATAGACACAAACAAATGGTGTTGGGTGGAGGGGGTCGTATCGAGGCCCTCCAGAAGGGGGAGAAGTCGACTGGATGATGTTGGATATTGGATGGTTTTTAACACAAAAGTAACGAATGTATTGATGTGAACGGCTAGGCATGAAGAAACATAAAACAGATGTTAGTCGTCGGAAAAAATGCGTTGGTGCTAAAGAATGAGAGACTAGCCGAGACGTAGGAGCGAGAGAGAGAGGCGCCAGCACAACAGACTGATGGAAGACATATTGCAGCTGCTGCACTACTTTGCAAGCCTTAGGCGCTCCTGTCGTGCGATTTGTGTACGGGATGTCAATAGTATGTTCCTGATGCAGGCCTATCCTTCACAGCAAAAGAAGTCGTGCACACGTTTTCTTGCTGGGTTATGCCTTAAGAACCCCTATCGGAGCGACGCTATGTTCTGAGAGATTCGCTATCTCTGAAGGTTAATTCAAGATCCTTTAAAATGTCGACATCATGACGCTTTCCGAATAGTCTGAACAATGGCTGTATTTTAGCCTCTTTTAATGGTACGAAGTGGTCTTTTGTCCCACACCGTCAGAAAGCGGTGTCATCACAAAATTCTTGTGCATCACTCGTAGCAACAAAGGAGAAGTCTACAAGAAATAGGAAGTTGAAGGGGGAATATAGCCTGGCTCAAAAGCATGCAGGCGTCCGAAGAAAGCTGACGTGTGCGCTTTCCGCAGTGCGGAGTATTCCCCAGGTAGCAGGGTCGTTAAAGTTGAGAATACGTTTGGTAAGTCTGCTTTCAATATGATACCCCAGAATTTTTTTCAATATGATACCGCACATTGCAAGAAAAGTAATTCGGGACCTCATCATACAATTAGATGAACAGCTTTTACTCACCCTCGTGAGCCTATATAACCTAGAACAGTCCCCCTCTTCGAGCCGTACAAGGGCGCTGCCATTAGCCATAGGGAGACCCCCTCCCCGCAATCACGACCCGTTAAATACCACAAACAGGAACCCCTTCAACCCTTTGATCTTCATCAACCCCCATTCGATCTCCGTTCTCCAAAAAACTCAACTACGACCCCCTCATTGAGAACTGCGCGATGCAACGTTAACCCTGATTGCGCCCCCCCCCCTCTATCACTGGCTATGGGCCGATCGAATGGGAGAGCTGATCACGCCCAAGTGCGTCGTGCCAGCTTATGTCTTGAAAAGATATCATTTATAAGCTGCCGAAAGCTCAAGGAGTAATTCAGAATAATTTGAACATATTTGATCTTACGCTTTTTTGTGCCGCAATAAAGCCCCTCCCAAAAAATGTGATAAATGGTGCTTAGAAGGTTGAGCAAACGGCCACAGCTAAATAAGTCGATGTTTTCAGTTGCTGCTCGTCAGCGCTTTAGCCTTGCTTTATAAGCATGAAGGCAGTATTTGTAGATAACTTATCTAGAAAACTACTGGCGACTCGTCGGCTGTGATAGCACATGAATCACTGACTCGATTCTGAAGCGAGAGCGTAGAATCCGATAGTCCAGCCAACTGTTCCAAACCAAGTTAAACGAAGTGATTGCGATGACTAAAGAGCGCGCTTGTTTGTATGACCGTCAATTAAGCGCCAACTGTGAAGAGCTGTAAAATCGGCACCCCAAACCCATAGGCACTCCATGACGTCATCAAAATCCACACCGCCCCCATCCATCATGATCACTGCCTTTAAGTCTCTTAAGTTAGTTACCTACTTTTTTACTGACCAGATTTGTCCCTTGGCAACCATCGCGACCCCTTTCCCTGCGTAAGATTTACGCCTTTCGCTGTGCTCTCTTTCACCTTGGCAGTTCTTGGAGGGATGGGTATGCACAAAAAAAGGTGTTTCGCAGAGTAGAGGGTATTAAACAATGACATGAGGTCAGAGTCACCACTCAGGATCTTAGACTTATTGACATTGACTGAGTAGGTTCCTTTCTCCACTTACAATCATCCTCCCTCCTGCTTCAAGCTGAAGTAATTACAGACTAGAGCTCCTAATGGACTAGAGCCTATTTCTTCTCATAGAGGGATTTTGCCGAAAATTTTGTCAAAGGATATTCACCTACTTGTACTTGCAATGTGGCATAAACCCCGCTGATGCATTTCTGTGACCATTAGGCCTTTTCCTTTTGCCTCTAGAGAGCGTGTACTGCGTGCACAGTACTTTACTGTGACTCTGGGCGTACACCCTTTTAGAGAAGAACCCTGGACCCCTTGGTCAAGTACCTAATTGTACGACTATTCAGCGCTCATGTACGGCGCATTCCAAGGGATCAATCCCCTCTTTGGTGTTCGGAAGGTTCAGTTAGTGGCAATTAAATTTGAACATTATGTAACGAATGCGGGTCTATTCCAGTTAGGGGGGGCATCATGATGCAGTTTTTCCAGAAAGCTAGGGTAACTCCGAGCCAGGGGAGTGTAGCCAGTCTAGGGGGTGGGGTGAGGGCAGTCACTTGACATGCGTGAAAAGCTGGAATGTTCGAGTTCACACTAGTTCGCCGAGAAACTGCATCATGATGCCCCCCTAACTGGAATAGACCCACGAATGCTTCACAAAGAGGTCAGTGCTACCAAATTCATCACCATCAACGAATTTGTCAAGGGTCAAGTTTTCATCCTCTCTCTTCATAACAGAAGCAGACAGTGAGAGCGACTGAGCAGAGACGCAGAGCGACGAGTTGGATTGGCGACGGGCCAACTTTGTCGTGAACGTTTCGGTGCTGTGCCACGTTTTGATAGAAGTTTTTTTTTGCTTTCTTCCCGCATTTTCCACGTAAGAGAATGGTCTTAGTTTCTTGACATTTCTGGTTTCTGGATCTCATTAGTCTCTTACTGTTCATCTCTAGGCTCTGTAGGTAAGGCATCGTAATATGTAGTTTCCGCAAATTCAATGAAGTCTTCAATTGTAAATAGGCCATAGCTTGGTTTTTCTCCGAAAAATTTTGAAAAAAAAAAATGGATGGCAGCTCCTCCTGTAGAACTCTTCACAGTAGATGTTGGAGCGAGGTGAATTTCTGTTGAGTTCTTCGCATGTGGAAACCGAAAACAACCTGAGCAACATTTGAGTGGCCAAGGAGCGCCTTAATGATCTTACACGCATTGGGCAAATGTGTTCGTAGCTCACGAAATTCTTACCTTCCTACTTATGGATCTTCAAACCGAGCCCCACCACTAGTTGGACTTCCTTTTTTTTTCATTTCCAATTCCGGTGCTGAATGAGTTGGGGGGGCAGCACGCGCAGACGTCTGGCGAACGCAATTGAGACCAAAGCTTGAGCCTAGAAGGAGGTTCAACTGCCGCTAAAGTCAATCACAAATCATATATTTCATAGTTTAAGCACCCCTTCCTAGGCTTAGACTTAATCCTTATCGCGTTTGAAAACGCTTCCGCTCTCCCAACTCCATTAAGCACCTCTCATTTTTCCTGCCGGATCGAAGTAAAAGAGAAATTCTAAGTGTACACATAATTTTACTAATGCACTGTTAAGGAGCCCGTCCTCACTCACAAGTTGGTTGTTCAGCTGCGTTGGAGACGACGACGGCAGCTTATTGCCGTTGGACGTTCATCGGATTAACTGGATGCATCTCAGAGATGTCATTGCATTACGCTATGCGCTAACGCGTGTGCGCGTCCTCAATTTTCGACTGTAAAGTGTTATCATCGATTCCATAACTGTATTGTCAACTGATCTTTTTATAAAGGATAAGATATTTGCCGTTGATCAATCCCTTTTTGGGATGCGGCACGCATTCTACTTCCATTTGTACATTCGTAGTGGCATTTGAATGCGATGTGGCCTATACAATGACTTGCGGGGGCCAGCCGATGTACAAGTCAGTGTTTTTATCCTCCCAGACAAGTCTGGTACCAATTTACCGACCCCGGAGGGATGGAAGGCTTTGTTGGCCTGGGCACGCACGATCCGGGATTCGATCTCGGATCGCGCTTGTGGTAACGTGCAACTTGCCATTACACCATCCCTGAGCTTTATTGAGCTTTCTATACCTTTCCAAAATGCTTTGCATGTTTTGGTCATGTATTAGGTAGAAATTTGTGTCCTTCTTGTTATTGGGGTTGCACCTTGAATAGTGAAGAGCCTGGTCGCCTGGAAAACTTTTTTTGTGTTACGCCTCATCGAGCGACATTCGCTAGCTAATCCTGGATCCGGGAAAGGAGGGCGGTTGGCCGGCCCGCGAGTCGAAGCCTATGCACCAGCGATCACATTGAAGTGGCGGGACCCACCTCAAAGGAAGTTGTCAAGCAGTGTCGTCCTTGAAGTGCGACTTTTTTAAACGGTTTAGTCTTGCCACTTGTCAGAATCAGTTGTCAAGTCGCTGGTATTATCTTCTTGACTAGCTGCGTGCATCGCATCCAAACTCGCTAGCGCCAATGTTCGACTCGCTGGACGAACGCTTGATCCAACATTCGCAAACTATGAATCAGCCTTAATGGTGCGCTAGTCGGTCAATGAGAAGGGCAGGGCGACATGCGAGTGAGTACCACTCAGGCCCAAAATTTTGGAAAATAACAATGTTGTGACCATGGGGATAAGTGGAGTGGTCCGGTCACACTTAGTGACCAATCACTGGAAGACTCAGGATTCGTTGTTCCATTACATCCAGTGAAAAACCCCATCGTAAATTTGATCAGTGCCCATGTGTGCCTTCGATCAGAGTCCAAAATCGATGTTAATTGATTCATTGGTATGCTACTAATTCTTAAAATGTATTTGAGAGTTATGTGGTAAATTCACGTCGCTATTGTGGAGTTGCTGAAGTCTTGTCAGGACTTCTTCGCAATTTTTTTTTCTGAAAAACAACATGTCACATCTTTTTTTTTCGTACATGATTTCGTCTTTTGAGGCAATGTCTTTTTTCGCTGGTTGCCCGAGGTCCAAGACCAAGAAGTTTCCAATTTTTTGAGCAGCTTTATTTTCAAAACTGCTATTTGATGGGATTATTCCCTCGTTATAAAATTAGCAAATGCATCTCGGAAATTTCCCTTTCATTTCAGCAGCAAGAATACACAGGATTTCAATCACTTTGTTGTTGAAAGTGAGGTGAAGTCGGTTGGCGACAAAGTTCGCGAATTTTTGCTGTCGTTGCAGTACTTCCGCGTATTCATTGCCTTGTGGAACGTGTTCATCATTTTTCTTATGCTTGTGTAAGTTTATCTTTTGGTTAAAAATGCGTTTCTGATAGCTGTTGATGACGTTCCTGAAGTGCTAATGTCTATGCTTTTTTAGATTCTTCTCTCATTAATTATGACCACAGTATCTGATATTGGTAGCCATATTTCTAGTGGAATGGATTTCCTAAGTTCTGCAGATGCAATTCTCAAGGTTTGTTGTTTTGTGTAAGGCCATAGTTGAAAACTAGATTTGTTCCTTTCTAGAAAACTCTTACATCAGTCCCCGCTGGTCGTCCACGTCGTGGTGCAGGCGGTGACAAGCAGAAGCAGGCCTTGAGTGAGGTAAATTGCATCCATTGACTCTTTAGTATACGTTTACCGTACTCAAAAAGTACTTTTTCTCTTTGAAACTCTCATCTTCTTTATCATTGATTATCTTGATTGTTATCATCCATCACGTTGTTATTTTGCATTAAGTTATCATTTTCATGTATTTTGTTTCGCTTTCAGTGCGCGGTACCTAACCTGTTGCCTTTTTGTAGGACTCAGTTGAAGACGATCTCTATATCAGTAATGTTTTGCAAGAACTACGAGTAGAGTTGGATGTTAAAAGGCGAGAAGAAGAGAGGTTACAGAAAGAAATTGCAGATGTCCTCACTGAGTGTGCTTCAGGTATGCTGGGTTTTTAATGTTTTGACATGTTATATATTTATCTCCAAAAATATTATTTTCGCGCTTTTTCGTGTGATATGGAAGCGATTAGGTACATATCTTTATACCTACCATTTTTCTTTTTTCCGTACCATTCTGTCTGCTCCAAATGAGAACATTCTTGTCTTCTCGATTTTGAACCATGTTCATACAATCCTGCCTGCGTCTTCCCTTCTTCCTGCCCCCCCTTGACCTTCTTTTTTCTGAGAATACTTAAAATTTTCGGGACCCTCCAATGAAATACGATACTGCGATGCAGTTAAATCAGAAGGCAATGCCTGCTCTTCGGACTCAATAGGGGGCCCGAGTACATAAGGTGATTCTTACCAGGAGTGCCGCGCGATCATCAAAGTCGAGCTTTCGGATGCCGTCCCGTGAAAATGCCCATGCTGGTGTGAAACGGCGCCCCCGCCCTGGCCGGGCGGAGGGGCCGGGGGCCAGCGGGGGGCAGGGGCGGCGGCGATACAAAGCAACTTGCAGCTAGTTTGCGTACAATATCGAGACTTGCGGATAATATTAGTGGCAAGGTGAGCAAACTAGAAACGACAACTTTGAATACTGATGCTCGCTCCTGTCTCCATTGTTTTCGCTGTATATCGAGAACTTTTAGTCTTTTTGATCTCCTCTGCAGGTATCTGCCCTTGACGTAGCTAAAACTCGTGTGGTGGAATGTCTTCAGCTTGCGGGAGACATGCATGACTTAGGTAACAAATTTTGATTCCATTCGCTCCTGTTCGCATTTTAAGCGTTCAATTACGTATGCTAAAATAACCTCTGGTTGATCATTCGTCCTTTATTTTTTTGTTGTAGTGAATATAAGTGTTGATGAAGCATAGCACGAAGACTACGAACAAGCCGACTCAGCACATCCACCGCTTCCTCACCCTCGATCGGGAGCGTTTCCCATCAGTTAGCACAGGTGACAAAGGTAGCGCCCTTATTCATTGGAACAATGGCATTGCTGTTTCCGTCCCTATCAGACATTCTACTATAAGCGGTGAAACTGATTTTCGCGGAATCCGAGCTATTCGGGGTAGCATTCGTCTCTCTGCTTAATTGAGCAATCATCTATTTTTCCTTTCTTCTGGTGGTCTTTACGTGTTTCCTTGCAAAAGCTCTAGTTTTCAGATGCTGGTCAAAATGTTTCACACAGCTATGAGGTGCTCACAAACGCTGCAGCCCGACTCAAAGAAATTTTGGGAAAAGAAGCTCGAAGCAGCTGTTGAAGCAGAAGACATACCGTCTATGCAGAGGTGAGGTAATTGCCAATGAAATCAATGTTCTCGTATGAAATTCGAAATTCCATTCAGATTTGTGAAACTGTTCCCTCTCATCAATGAACATGATAGTGGCCTTACTCGATTTGGGAAGTATCTGAGCAAACAGATCGTAAAGATAGGAAGCGACAATCTCAAAGTACGAATTCTTTTTTGATTCATCATTTACAAACAGTACTTGGTCTTGGATTTGACATGAAGGTTTCAGTTACTGTTACGTTTTGCAGATCATGGATGCCGGTGGAACAGACGACAAGCGGATCAGCGTTCTCTATGCTGACACGTTATTTTTGTTTTTCGAAGGTTAGTTGCCATTTTCGATTGACGATGTTTCATTGTTAGAGTTATAGCTACATCTCGTATTCAGTTTTACTTATTGTTCGTAAAGAGGACATGTATTGGGTTGGAGCATAATATCGTAGCTTTTTTTTGAGCGTATAAATTCAGTCAGTACAAGTATCACCCGAAAAACCGCTCATACTATTTGAAAGTACTCTTCTCGCTCTACAAAACCGTAGTTGTCTTTTCTTGACTCAGATATAGAGCTTAGAATTTGGAAAATCCAGACGGCAAAAATCGGCGTTTCGACAGCTGTATTCTCGGCTTGAAATAAAGAAAAAAAGCACCAAGTTTGAAGATCTTTTGAATCAATTGTTCTAATCGAAATTTGCTCCAACGGACCCTGTCTTTTTCGCTGAAATTAAAACTGTGTTCACTGCTTCAAATGTTTGTGTGAAGAAATGAAAAATGCAAGCGCTACGATATTATGCCCCTACTCAATACAGCATGGCTTCGCTCTTCGAAAATATGGATCATTTTCTCTTTGTCGATTCCATTTTCATTACCTTTCGGTTAATGATTCCTTTGGTCTCCTGTCTTTGAAAACTGGACGAGCTCACTCCTCGCCTAAATCTGTACCTTAGAAGGCGTTGTAGTGACCCAAAGGATTGCCCTGTACAACACGATTTACTGCTTTCTTCCTACTTCATTTTTACATACAACGATTTTTCGAGCGTATTTGAAGCGAACGTGTCATCTTCATTGTTCATGTTTAGGCATCGCAGCCTTACTAGAGACGAATCAGCCACTTATTGAGAGTGCTTATGGGCCTGATAAATTGTTGGATTTCATAAATATGCTACAAGTTGGTCCATATTTATTGAAAAACTTATCTGGAACTCGACGAAATAAAAGTTTTTTTCTGTGCAGGTCGACATCGATCAAGTTGTGGGAAAAGTGATCGATGCGTTTGCTAAAAAGCGACAGTTAGAGAAACGGCTGAAAGCAGTTCAGCGCCTTCTGCGAGAAGATCGTCACAGTGATAAAGGGGAAGGTGAATCTTCCTATTTACTAAATAAGGACGTATCGAATCGAATGACTTTGAGTTTCACAGCAGTATCAGATGCTAGAAGTTACAGATAGCATTTCAGTGGAGCGTTTGGACGCCCTTGAGCTGGATAAGTTGTTATCGGAGATTTGTCTCATGAACACGCACACAGAAATGTACTGGAGATTTGTACGTAGACGACTCAAAGGAGCATCTCTTGAAGCGGATCAAGAGGAGGTGTGCACCTTTCGCGATCCGTTATCTTACCTAGCTCTAACCTTGACCTCTGACTAACTCTTACCTTTCTTCTCTATAAATATTTGTGGGTTATACGGCTACTTCGATAGAATATAGTTGTTTAGTTTGTCATGATAAATGGCGATG